AAAAAGAGCTGGGGTGTGGCCAAAGTGGTAAAGTGCCTGCCTAGCAAGCACGAGGCCATGAGTTCAAACCCCAGTACAACCAAAACAAACGAGCCCCCCAAAAAACACAAGTGGCAGAATTTCTTACTTTAACACATTTGTTAAAGAAGTTTGAAATAGAAGCAATTCTCTTATCAGGGAGGCACTTTAGAATATTGGGTACACACAGTGACAAGGAATTGGAGTCAAATCCAGGATTCTCCGAGAACTGACACTGCCCATTGGTGAGTGATTCTGAACCTGTTTCCTCATCCTTCAAATGCAAATGTGTCCTGTGCTGTGACTGGACCTCAGAGGGAAGACGCAGGTCTTTTCATTTCTCTCAGTTCAATCTTAGATGCCTCAGAAACAGAGAAGGAAAGAGAGACCATGCATGGCTGTTTTTAAAATATTTTGGGGGACCACAGCCCACTTAGGGAATTTAAGTCACTTTTTTAAAAAAGGACTAAATTTTATTTCTAAAGAATAGTAAATGAGCCTTGTTCATAGACTTTTATTAACAGTTAACACAGATAAACATTTTTTAAAATTCACATGCCAAATTTGGCACCTAATTTCAGGGCCCTCTTCCCGGCAAAGCCCCACAACGATTCACAGACTTCTGATTAAGAACAAATGAGGCCAAAACTTTGGGGGTTGTCTCCTTATGAGTCATTTCATTTCACAGGCAGAAAAGACTGTTCTCCGGCCAAAGACCACATCAGCAACCCTGGCCAGCAAACATGGTCGTCAGGGAGCCAGACAAGAGAAGATGAAGCCCTCAGCCCTGTCACCAGGACTTACAATGCTATTCAAAGCCCACCCTACTCTGCCCCCGAAATAAGCATTTTATCTCCCCACGTAATTGCCATTTCTTGGAGGAATTAGGAAAGAATGGCCCCAGTTGCATTGTGTATTTCAGAACAGCTTTGCAAGCTTTGTGTTATTTTGTTGTTAATCACAGCCCTCTATTATGGTTTAAAAAAAAAACCCAGAATATCAAAGCAAACTGAAAGGCCAACTGAAATAGAGTTAGCATAAGAAAATATTATGCAGCCTCGAAAATGATCATGTAGCCATGGGAAGATGCTTGCGCTATGATGAAGAAAAGAAAGGAAACAAACCAGAATCAAAGCGTATGTCACTTCTGCTTTCAGCAATGAGAAACTTCATGAGCTGGACCAGAAGAGCAGCTCTTAGGGAACAGTGCTTATATCTGTTTGCAATAACACCCTTGGGATTATATAATTCTTACAGATTTAAAGTCAGGAGACAAGTGACACATCTGTATAGAATTAGCCCACTCTTCCAGATGCCAGAGGCTGCTCAGCCTCCTTTGTCTCAGCAACCCAGCGCCTTCTTGTGGCTTCCCTTGTGATTACTGCCAAGGCAGGCAGATCCATGGCAGATCTGGCAGAGCCCCCAGACCCAGACGACCACAAACCCAATACTGGCTTCAGAAAGAGCAACAAGGGCGCAGTCAGCATTTCCAGCACCTGACTCAGTTCCCATCAGACTCCACTCGGCAGGGACTTGTTGTGCAACCAGGGCAAGGAACTTCCATATTTAAATCCCAGGAAGCTCTGAGTTTTTGAATCTATGTCATCTACAAATAGACTGACATTCAGAGCCAGATGGAAACGACTTCTCTATGGTGATAAGTTGGTGATGGGAGTATTAAGTAGCCCTCACCTGCTGGCCTAGTTTCCCACTGGCATCTTCTGATGCTGGAAGCAATCTGGGGTCACCATGGTGTTCCCATGGGAGCATGAGGTCAGCTCCTCCCACAGCAGCCACCAGAAGACTGCCAAAAGGTTCCTGCCAGAATCTGAAAGGAGAACAGCAACAACAGCAGGCCACTGTGACCTGGCAAGGATCAAGGTCAGCATCTGAGTCACTGCTATAAAGCCTTCTAGGTAAAGGCAATGCCAGTTGCCTGCAGCTCTGTCCTGAAGGCCCTCTGGCCTCCCCTTGCTTGACTCCTAATGGCCTCGCTCTCATCCCCAGTCAGTTAGGGAAAGTGAATGGGAGCCAGCATGCGCCTGGAGGCCTTCCTGCAGTGCTCCTGGCAGTCTCATGCACAGACAGTAGGATTTGGGTTGGAATGAATGTTGGTGATGGATTCCACAGTGACCATTCCTGTGCCCTTGGGGCCTGGCCCCATGTCTGACTTCCTTCACGTCCCAATAAGTAACGACTGAGGAGTGACGGTTCTGGTGTAGGCTGCTCAGATTTTGGGAAAGGCCAGGTTAGAAGCCTGACTCCTGGGTTTATGGGAATGAGCATACCCCGAAGGGTAAGAGGAGCTTCCCTTGCACTGACAAGTCGGCAGGACGGGAGAGGCATTCCCCGCAGAGCTGTATCTTCAGGCATGCTCACGTCAGAGCCTGCTACAGAAGAGAAGCTTCCTTAGTCACAGGTTTCCTGATGTCATAGGTCACAGTGCATGGTCCTCTGTGACACAGATCAGAGCTCAGTCACAGCATATGTGGATGCAAGCTGTGGGGGCACATCACAGCCTGTGTGTGGCTCTCACCTCCATGACGACCCCCTTATGCCTTCCTAGAACTGGGGAGTCGCCTCTGTGAGAAGGTGGGAGAGGATTCCAGGCAGAGGACAAGCAGAGCAGGCTGTGGTGCAGTCCAGAAGCCATGGGTGGCTGGGGTGAACCTCGAGTCTGGGTTGACTGTGGGGAAGCAGATGTTATGGGGAAGGGCCTCCAGGCTTGGTGGTAACTAGCACTGTTCAGTTTTGATTTCCATCTCAGTATTTTGTGATTTTCATCTTGATGTTGTGATTTTCATCTAAGAGCTGTCTTCCTGCCACTTTGTCACTCTTTCTTCTTCCTCATTGCATCAGAGGCACCTCTATCTGGCCAAGGCATCACTTTGGGTGGTCACACCTGCTCTGCTGAGCCTGCAGGGGGTGGGGCCAGATGGCTCCCTTTCCACACACCTGAACCTTATAAGCAGGCCACTGGCTGCTGATGGCCTGTCCCTTCGTGGCAGTCTCTAGGCAGTGGTGTGGGCTCCCAAGGTTGGGGCCCCATCAAACAGGTGCTGGTGCTCCAGGGAACATGGAAACATTTCACTCCAGGGAAATGTTTTCTAGCACTGATTACAGCTGCTTGGCCACCAGTTCTGTGGGTATGGTGGAGCCCAAAGAACAGCAGATTCCATTTGGCTGTGCTCCATGTGGGCTCTGGGAGCCTCCTTCCCTCCATTCCAGGCTGTCTGCCTCCTTCCTGGAGAAGAGTCAGGGCTAGAAGACTGAGCCGGGGCCTTGCAGGGAACCATGCAGGGCAGATAGGGCTGTGCTCAGCTCTATATCCCCCAATAGTTTTGGGTGAGGGCTCAAAACTGTATGCCAAACAAAAAATAAACAGACAATAAGAAGTACAATGAAGGGAGGGAAATACAAAGCTATTCTGGAGTATAATGGGGGTTGGGAGAGTGGGTGATAAATGTGAAAGTTTCTATGTTCAGGAAAGTCCAGAGAGGGGGTGGAGACCACTGGGCATAGGTGATAGTTTTCCCAAGAGTGCTTAGCGTCTGGCCACTTCTACTCTGAGGTACAATGAGTACAACTTTTTAGACTTTTTATTCTGGAATAATTCTAGAGTTACAGAAAATTAGAGATAGTACAGAGAACTTCTATAAACCCTTTACCCAGGTTCCCTAATGGTAACATCTTACCTTATTGTGCTACATTTGCCAGAACTAAGTAATTCATATCAGTAGATGGTTTAACTGAAGTCCAGATTTTGCTTGGATTTGACCTATTTTCCCACTGATGTCTTTGTGATTGATGTGTGCTAAGATCCAATCTAGGATGTGAGTTCTGGATTGAGCTGTCATGCCTCTTTAGTCTCTTCTGATCTGTGACAATTTTGCCATCTTTCCTTTTTTTCATGACCTTGATATCATGTTGATAGTGTTGAAGGTCAAATGTGTTTTAGCCTGTCCTTCAATTCGGGTTTGTCTGACCTTTTCTCAGAGTTAGACTGGGTTGCATGTTTGGGGAAAGAATTGCATCGTAGCAGAAGTTCACAGTAGCAACCTGAGTTACCCTCCTGATGTTGACCTTGATTACTGGGTTAAGTGGGTGTTCGAAGGGCTCTCCCTTCCCAGCTGCTGTTTTTCTCCTTCCACATTCAAGTCCAGTCCTCACTCAAGGTGAGGGAATGAAGCTCCCCCGTGGAGGAGTGTCTACGGGTATCTAGGGAATTCTCTAGAACCACAGATGCACAAGGATAACAATTAATAGTTCTATGGTAGTGTGAATCCATGAGGGTGAAATCAATGGCCAATTATAATGAATGGAAACATTGTCAAAACCCTAGAATTTTGCACAATCCTCTCAAAACATGTTATCAACTATTTTCTTTGCCACAGTTGGAATTTCCTAGCAAGGTTGAGCTCTCAGCCAGAAAGGTCATCATTAAATGTATTCTGCTGTCTTACCCCCAAATGCCCAAAACCCAGGACAACTTCAATTAAAAAACGAACAAAATGAAACAAAGTGACAAACATTGAACTTGAACCAGACATTACCATATGTTACTTTCAGTCCCTCTCAGGTCTGCGAATTGGCTCTAACTGCCCTCCTTTCTAGGTAGGGTGAGTAATTCACCTCCAGCTCTGCAGCTGGTCTGTAAGTTCCTATCCCTCTCCCCCTGTCCCCCATACACACACATAGCCCATGTCCTCTCGCATCACGTTTGCTACCTTCTCCAGTTTGGAGCCTCAGACACAACATCTACCCTGGATGGATGCACTTTTACAGATCTGAAATCTCTTCGACATAAAAACAAACAAACTGTGGGGCAATCTATTCATCACCATGGCCCAGACTGTGTTTTTTCTCCATTTGCAACACCCAGAGCAACGTCCCTGCCTCTTGTCCAATTTACAGGCTTCAGAGCACTGTTTGCTCAATGTAGGGAACCAAGACATCAAGAAACCAGTAGGTGAGAGACCTACCTGGCAAGTCTTCAGCGGCTTCTCACCATGGTGCTTTAGCAACCAGTGTGCATATGGTGGAGTGGGCTTCTAGTGGTAACCAGCAGCTCTGGGTGCAGTTCCAAAGGAAAAGCTTATCCTCGGGTGGATTCCTCTCATCTCAGTCAGTTCGAGTAGCTCGTGGCTTCCTGCCAGTAGCAGGCAGAGGTTTGTGCTCCCGTCTGTGAACAGAGCTCCACCAGCTACCCCAAGGAGCAACTCAACAAGAGCTGCACCCTTCCAGCCAAATCTTCTGGGGGTTCACTGGATCCTGTAGTCCCTCTGCTCCAGAGAAGCCTGGAAAGAAGAACTGCAAGCAACTGTCTTTTCCAAGGCCTTGGGCCACATGGTTACAATGCCCCTCTGCCACCACAAAGTTTTCTCACAGGGTCTTGATTTAACAGCATGGCTAGTGTTTTTCCTCACCAAGTCAGGCAGGGTTAGCAAATCTCCAACTAACTCTACGAGGTTGTTTTGCACTGCCTTGCAGACAAAGAGCGTGGGCTCTGTGCCACCTGTGGGAGCCAGGCAGAGTTCTCTCAGCTGGTTGGTTTTGCTTTGCTTTTAAATGATGCTAATAATAGCTAGGTCACAAGATGCTATGAGCATTTGATGGTTGAATCAATGTGAATGGCGGGAATGGAATTGGTGCTCAATCAATGCAAATTCCCCACGTTTTATAGCACGTAAGCCAATAATGATTCTCATTTCAGAGCTTCTTCAACAGGACCTCTTAACGCGATGGCAGAGACCCAAAGGAGCAAATATGGTAGAGATGATGGAGACAGGACCCAACACCTGTAGTGTCCCATACAAGTTGAGGGAGCAACAGGACCAAGAAGGTGGTTGAGATGACCACCTTCAGAGACTTGCTGACCCGGCAGACATGGTCACATCAACTGCCCCTCACTGAACATGAAAGGGAGCCAGTGGGCAATCCTCCCTCCCTTTATGGTCTGGGAGACTGAGAGGGACAGGGTCAGACAGGCCCTCTTTTGGGAGAAAAACTGTAATCATGAATGAAAAGTTTACTATGACCTATATAGGTCATAGTAAACTCTAAATAACTGGAGTCTGCTGTGACAATGCTGAATCTAAGTCCCAAATCTGATCTTTGTCTTCCCCTATACTTGGTAGCACAGGGCTCAGAACAGTGTCCAGAATACCAGGCATGCTCAATGCATGGTAGCTATTATCAATTTATTATTATATTGACCTTCTGACACTTGATAGTTGGACCTAAACATTAAACACAAGTTGAAAGAATTCCAAACTCCTTCAATTTAGGATTTTAAAAACTTACTGGTTCAAGAAGAGATTACTCAGGTATATTATTTCAATTCAATTAATACAAATTTTCTGAACACCTACTCTGCAGAAAGTACACAGTAGAGGCTGAGGATGCAGATAGGTATGGTCCCCTCTGAGAGACCTAAGGAAATTGGAGAGAGTGCAAGCAAACAGAATATTACAATGGTGCATGAGGGAACAGAAGTCTCCATGAGGCACAGAACAAAGATGGGAACAATAGCCCCAACAGGGATGATTGGGAGGAAAGTTCCCTCCCAAGAAGGTGACTTTGAACATTGATTTGTGACTAAAAATTCTGAAAACTGCTTCTCAGAGGCAGATCCCTGGGTTTACTGAGTAGGAGTCCTGGGATGCTGACTGAATTGCCACTAGTATTTTATCAGTGGGGCATGCATATATAACTTTTGGACAATTTTTATGTACTTGGATCTGGGCTACAGAGAATATAATGGAGAAAGGAAGTCCATCCTAAGGAGCAAATTCATTTTCCTGTAACACTGACTCACCTACTTGAGTGAGGGAGATGGGAGAGTTTGCAGGAAAGGGAGATTGAATATGTTGGCTTCAGTATAGCTTGGAGGAGAAAATGTCACCTTTCTGTCCACCCTGAACAGAGGATGGAGCACAGGCACACACAGAAATGGATTCCAGCAACCACTCAGAAAAGAACAAGGAAATGACATTGTTGTTGGGTTCCAGATGTCTGAGCAGAAGTGAAAGTTAATTTCAGCCATTTTCACCCTCACAGAGCCACAGGGTCCATGAGAAAGAATCCAAGAATGAGGATGGGAAGCGGTGAGGCGAAGGGTGTCCTTTGTTAGATGCTTTTGTTGGAGAAACTCAGAGAGCTCCTCTCAGGGCTGGACACCAGCTGAGACCAGACACCAGCTCTGAAGCTTCCACTTCAGTGTTCCATCTCACTGGTTCCTCATTTATTTTTGCACATTGAGGTAACCTATGCAAAATTCAGTGCTCTCCTTCCATGAGTCTATGGTAGCCTCCTCAGACCAAGTTATCTCTGATTAAAATCAAAAGCTGTGGGCAGTAGAATATTTGAGTGGAAGAAAAATTAAAATAATCCAGTTTTTAAAAATCCAGTTTAAAATTTGCCTCAAGGATGGTTATGGAAGAGCTGCCCAATTTCTTTTAGAAGAAAGCAAGTATAAAAACAGACAAAATTGTAAAACGAAAACAACCACTTCAGAGCACCAGAAAATGACCAAGTACAGTCAACAAATTGAGAAGGGTCTAATCTTTAAGAACTGATACAGTATCAGAATGGCCAAAGTCAGTGGTCTTCTTGCCTGAAGGTCCCCCCACTCCTTATCTTGGATGAGGAAAATTACAGGTTTGCTAGTGCAAGTGATGGGCTTTGTTTGAAGGCTGTCAGTGGGGACCAACAGATGGATCTGCTGGAGGTCACAGATTTGTTCCTGGATGAAAAAATGAAAACCTGAAGTTTTATGTGTTAAATATCATATAATCAGTTCTAGACAAGAAGTGAAAAACTGCAGCTTTGCTTACTTGACATTATAGCCTTGATTCAGGATGGACAAAAAATCAGCCAGAATTGGTTGGGGAGATCCAACAAGTAAGAGTGCTATGAAAGAGCTGAGTTAATAAATTCCCACCTGACTGCTAAAACACCCATGAGTAAGGTGGTGGGTGGGGGGAGACCCAAGAGAGTACAGACAAAAGTGAGAGCCAATGGAGATCGGAGGACTTGCTTCAGATTTGAATGTGTTTCTTCAACCACACACAGCATGGGCAGCAGAGGGTGGAAGGCTTCCTTGTTTAAGGTGTCTGAGCACAACCTCTGCCCAAATAATTGCCTGATTATACAACGCAGGAAGAGACTACACCCTAGGGAACCAGACAAAAACACAAAGTAAATTCCAACAATAAAAATTGTACTGTGATATTAGTGACTACACACTATGGAGGAGACTAATTCTGCAATTTAAGTTTAGATAAGTTATGAAAACAAAAATCAACAACTTAGCAGAAAATAAAACAGATTCACTGCAACATCCAGTCTTCAGCCAGAAGTTACTAGACATGGAAAAAATCCAGCAAAAGGTGACCAGAAAAATGAAGCATAATGGTGAATGGATTCTGACAAGACTTCAAAACAGCTTTATAGACTTGTTGAAGTCATCAAGGAAAAATATGTTCAAGAATTAAAATTATATTCAAGTGTCCATAAAGAGAATCAACAAAGAAATGGAAATTCTAAAAAATAAATGGAATTTCTAGAGCTGAAAATACAAAAACTAAAACAAAAGGTCATGCCATAAGCTCAAGAGATCTGAGTTAAAAGACAGAACTATAAATATGAAGACAGTATGAAAGTTATACAACCCAAAACACAGCACAGAGAGCAAAAAGAACTAAGAACATGAACAGAGATGTAGACACTTGTCAGTCAATATAAATCATTCAGAGCTAACTGTAATGGGAGTCCCAGAAGGAGAGGAGAAAGAAAAAGATACAGAAAAAATTATTTGAAGAAAAAATAGTAGAGATTTCCTCTATGTTAGCAAATACTATTAACAACTCAGAGAGTCAAGAAACTGAATGAACCTAAAGTAAGATGAGCACAAAGAAAGCCACGTACATCATAGTGCTATGTCAAAAACCTAAGGCAGGAGAAAATCTTGCAAGCAGCAAGAAGAGGGAGGGAGGGAGGGAGGGAAGAGGAGGAGGAGGAAGGGGAAGAGGAAGAGAGAGGGGGGGAGAGGGAGAAAGAGAGAGAGAGAGAGAGAGAGAGAGAGAATCACATTTAAGGCAACTGAAGAGAGTGAAAAAGTCTTCTTTGGGGAATCTGATCAACCCAGAGTGTAAACATGCTAATACTTGGGGGTTTCCCTGGAAACTACCCAGGCACTATCACTCTACAAAAGATAGAACAGTTGAAAATGACAAGCCCACACATGGCAGGACTTTTTTTCCCTCAGTGTAACACTCTGAAATATGAGAAGCTAGCCGCAAATAAGTAGGTAAGTAGGTATTTGAAAAAGATCTTTAAAAAGTCAGAGACAAAACAAATAACACTAAACCATGAAACAAGAAAAACAAGATGCTTAAAAAAGAAGAAACATTTTAACTCCTAAAGATTAAAAGAAAAATTGGAAAAATTTGAAGATAATGCTGAAGAGATGACAAAGAAATAGAGTGAAAAAGAAAAGAGAAACTGTAAAGAAACAAAAAACATTTTTAAACCACCCCAAAATGTCTAACTTTTAAAGAGCAAAAATTTCCACAAAAAAAGGAACAACAACAAAAACAGGAGAAAATTATCAAATACATAATTAAAGAAAATTCCTTAGAGTTGAAAGACATAATTTCCAGTTTGAAAAGACCCACTGAGTGCTCAGCACAGGACAAAAATAAACATAACAATGCACTGTACCAGAAAATTTCAGAATAATGAAGGAAAGAAAATATTTACAAGCTTCCAGACAGAAGAACAGGTAGTAGAGGCACAATAGCCAAAATAGCTTTGGACTTTGCCAAGTAACACTAGAAGTCAGAAAATAATAGAAGGATGTCTTCAAAATTCAGAGGGAAAGTCATTTGCCTCCTAGCGTTCCAACTTAGGCCAAAATCAATTAGAGATGAGAGGGATAAGGACATTTTTAGACATGAAAGATCCCAAAATATTGGTTTCACATCCCATTTTATAGAAGGGGCTCAATCAAAATGAAGTAAGAAATCAAGTAAGAAAATATCAAATTTCCAGAAAACAGAACAGCCAACATAAGAGAGGTGAAGGGATCCCCAAGAAGCTGAAGAGAAATCCTAAGAAACAGACTATGCAGCGGGCCGGGAGTGACCCATCCGTTTTAGAGCAGGGATCCCAGGTACATTTCTTCAAGAAGGTGAAATTACCACATTTTTTTAGAATAATTACCAAATTATTGAGAAGAAGTTATTAACTAAAATTTAGATAATTGGGTAAATGAAAAATTAAATCCAAGGAAAACAAGATATTGTGCTTGAAAGAAAATAAGCATAGCATATTATGTCGCTCTGTTGTAAATAGAGTTTATATAACCCTACTAATACAAACTCTAACTATTGATCTAGTAAAATTATTTTTTTAACTATATTGGTAGGATGGTGTGATAAGTATATGTTGGAGGGAGAGTTAAATTTATTTCATAGTAAGAAGTAAAAAGATTATGTCTGAAACTGAA